CTGTGTTACTAATGTAATTTCTGCATAACTAATACAACGTTATGATTCATGGTATACAACTATGCATCAGTAATGCAACATTTGATTCTACATAGAGGATAAGATAGGAAAAGATCACTTGAGATGATTTGACTACTTAAACTCAAAATGCACCAATCCTTAGGTGCAACTACAATATCTCGGAGTCGTTGCGGATTAAGAAAAAATTAAACACAATGGAAGCAAAGGCAATATCAACTAGTTGGTGTTAAAGTTTAGTTGTTGTCACAGTTACATTAGGTTATGCCTAACGAATAAGTGTGAGATTTAGAGAATCTCTAGTTTTAGAGAGTCCTTGGTTTTTTCAGATAAGTACTATTCGTTCTCTTTTGCACTTCTGAAAAACCAAAAAAGAATAGTACTTATAAAAAAAGACCGGAATAGAAGTATATAGAGGATTCATATTGCCAACCTTACTATTTCGATATTGAGGAACTCAGGAACAGTTAAATTGAGTGATTGACATATTTTATTTTATTTTGCTTGCTCCTGTGGAATATTTTAGGTGCTAAAGAAGCTGCAGTTTCCAGATTGATTGCATTTTCACTTTTATTGGATATATTGAAAATTGGTGGTGATTTTGCTGTTCTACTCACTTTTTTGAATGCAGTTAAAAATGTGGTGTCACAGTTGAGGCCAATTCTTTCAGAGAAGCAGCTTCTGGTGTCGGTTGCTGCAGGTGTTAAGTTAAAGGATTTGCAGGTTTGTCTGCAAATGGTGTTGGAGCTTCACATAAAATTCCTTAACAAGCTAAATCGTTGAAACAAGCTTTTTATTTTAGATGCTATAGTTTCGGGAGCTGGCTTTGACATTATAAGGACTTTGTGACTTGATTACCAAATTTGTTCTACAATTTATTGGTAGTTTAATCTAACACCATGGAAGTGGCAAGTACAGTTTTCTTAAATTATGAAAATCACGAAACTTTGCTGAGAATCACACAATTTCATCATCAAATAACAAGTAGGAAAGTTTAAATAATGGAAAACTCTAAACTAAACTTAATAGGACTATTAATCCGTCACAACCAAGAAACTATTGAAAATAAAATAAATAATAGTTCTTAAAATACTGATGAGTAAATATCTAATATGGGTATGTGACGAAAATGCTTGGGTCTAGCTCATTAGACGAGGATTGTCCAAAACCATATAAGGAACAACAACACACTTCCTCAACCGCTGTGGGAAAATCAAACAGCCCCCACCTTGGCCTGGTTAACTTGAGCGTGAATAACATAACATGGGGATTCAACATTGTGTAAACCAAGAATAGGAATGACCTGACTCGGATACCATGTGAAGAATATGAACGTTGGGCCTAACTCAACCCTAAAAGATAGTGCATGATGTGAGGATTGCCGAAAATCATATAAGGAGACCACATTCCATTTTCATAAACAATATGGTACAATATAACAGGGTACATGTGGTTTTTGCTAATTTTTAGCATATCTTGAAGCATCCAAGTGCCCATACCCAATGTACATACATTTGACATGGCTAGATCAAGGCATATTAAGGGTCATGTAACACAGGAAAATAACTATAGAACAAGGCTTCTGGATTAACTAGAGAATAATTAAAATTAGTGTGAAAATTTAATTCTGTTCCCTCAGTCCTGTATCATGAGCATTCAGGATTTTTCTGTGTGATTTCTTTTATGTTATTGTGTGCATGATATATGTATGGGGGTGTTCCTTCTGTTTAGTCACTTACTTCCTCTTTCTTTACAAGTTACCTGTCGCTGAAGTAATATTCTGCTTACATACAACACCAGTAAAGAGCAACTTGACACTAGACGCCCAGTGTCAAGCTTCTGTTGTTTTGCAATATATGTAGGTGATGATTAACAATCACCTAAAGTGTACATAGTTGAAAGATGGATCATTTCTCTTTTCTTTAAGCTTATGATTTTCTTCTATTGGGCTTATTGCTTCCTTACAACCTAACATCCCTGCTTTCTTCAAATCAATGACATTCTTCTTGTGGTTCCAAAGGTACAGACCTTCTGATGGTGGGAAATTTAAAATTGGCCCAGTAGAAAACTTTTATTTGCTTAATCATATTTTCTAGAAATGAAGGTGAAACCAACGACTCAATTTACTGACAATTAGCTCAAATGCCTAAGCTAGCCATGCCTTTTAGTGTCTACAGATGCTACCTGTATATTTGCTCTGAGTAAAGAGTAGAATGACAACTAGATGCACGAAAGCATGCATATCTTCTCAGTTAATGATTCACTTTGTTGATTCAATTTTCTATTTTTTTACCCATTTCGCTGAAGCATCTCCTATTTTAATCCTTTTCTCAAGGAATGGGCAGGTCAAGGACGATTTATTAGGGTGATGCCAAACACTCCCTCTGCTGTTGGTGAAGCCGCCACTGGTAAATGAGAAATAGATACTGATATTTGAATCATGTTACGGTTATCCTTGATTGTTCCTTCAAATAAAATATTCCCGAGACAAGTCCTCTCCCTATACTTGAATCTCTAGTTGTATCTAAGCATTAACTTTGGACATGGATCTACCAAATGTTTGTTGTCTATGCTACATTGATTTGGCTATGGATAAGAACCCTATAGGGGTGAATTAGTTTCCTGTAAAGGTGCATGCAGTTTTTGAAGAATCCACACTAAGTGCACACCCCATATCATACATATTCCGTTCTACACCAAAGGATTTATGTAACATGGTTTGTTGTTGAGAATTTTGTTTGGAGCCTTTGATAATTAAATAAAAAATTGAGATGTTAGGAAATAGAATTCAGAAGTAATACTTTCTTACAATATCCATAATCAGACTTTTGTCAAATTCTGTCCCATATGTATTGAAGTAATTCTATCGTCTGTAGCACACATGAACTTTGCATGTTTGTGACGTGAATATATTCTCTTGGTTGATCTTTTACCTTGAAATATTTTCTCTAGTGTAGGTTACTGAGACACTAGTAATTCTAATTTTTTGGTTGATTCTAATATAACTATGTGTGAGTTGTTCTCAGTTATTGCTATCTATGTATCCTTCTAATTTAAGTGTCTTTATATAGTCTTTACTTTGGGGGAAAAGGCAACAACAGAAGATGGAGAACTTATTTCCCAGTTATTTGGAGCAATTGGTAAGGTGTGGAGAGCTGATGAGAAGCTGTTTGATGCAGTTACAGGCTTAAGGCATGTTCTTTCTTTAATGTTTCTAAAACCAGATTTATTATCACTTAATTTGATGCCAATGTCTGCTCCTGTGACTAGCTGTTTGTTGAGCCCGCTTGGGGATCTTAGTTCTTCCGAACTGCTTTTGCCTATACAAGCAGAGTTCATGCAAAGTTGGGAATCCAGTACCATTGTTAACAGAGTCTATTCTTTCTCCTTGAAATGTCAGTGGTAGTGGACCAGCCTATATTTTTCTAGCAATAGAGGCGTTGGCTGATGGAGGGGTGGCTGCTGGTTTACCTAGGGAGCTTGCACTTGGACTAGCTTCTCAAACTGTAAGTTAACAGTTACTCACCAATTTGTTCATACGCTGTCGTTCAATATGTTAGTATGGTTGTGTTCTTTGGAATAGCGAGAAGCAGCGAAATTGTGCTTTTTCTCTCCCTGATTCAGCCTGAGTTCCATTTAGATGTCAAGGTTCATTTGTTCTATAGGGGTGAGGTGGTTGTTCGCGAAGACAGTGGTTTGCTTACGGTTATATGCATTTTTAAGGCTAAAGTATATTATATTATCTTACTTACCTTGCAACTTTTTTAGATGTACAAGTACAATCTTTTTCTTAAGAGATGTACTAATTTGTTTTCATCTTTCTACTTGCATCAATTAGTCCTTTCAATGCCTCAAAAACTGTTAACAGTTGTTTATTTTGTAGCTTATTTAACTGACATAGTAGTAGTAGTAGTAAAACTACAGTTAAGCAGTGTTCTAACCCACAATAAGTAGAATAAGTTGGGGATCATCTTTTGAGTGCTCTCTCCTTTGTTATTATGACAGGGGAAAGGCAGCTTTTCAACTTCTCTACATTGAACTTTTCTTGTTCTCTGTGAAAGATTTACTAGAACTATAATTTAAATGAGTTGCACATTTATCTAATGTGTTTAGAGGATTCCTTTTCTTCTTCAAGAGAGAGAGTTACACGCATGCCCTCGAACGTGCTGCTGGTTGACTGACCCACTGATTCTCTGCTGCAGGTACTAGGAGCAGCATCAATGGTCAAGGGTATGGCCAGGCATCCTGGTCAACTTAAGGATGATGTTGCATCACCTGGGGGGACAACCATAGCTGGAATTCACGAGTTGGAGAAGGCTGGATTTCGTGGTATCTTGATGAATGCAGTTGTAGCTGCAGCTAAGCGCAGTCGAGAGCTCTCTCAAAATTAATTTAATTATCACTTAGGCTAGTGGTGGACCAGCCGGAAGCTGTGTGTATCAGAGTTGTGAATTGCTACTAAAGTTAAAGCTGCAGAGCTTGTTGATGTAATGAGAAAAATGAGGCTGTGCAGTTCATTTTTTACCAAAATAAAGCACTGTATCTTTTTACCTTTTGGACCAAACTGCCCCTACTTATTAAAGAGCGTGGCACAATCACTATAAATAAACATTATTTACAGTTAATAGCAGATTATTATATGTAAACATCAGTTATTAGTCAGTAATTATTTAAGAGCAGAAGAAAACTCGAGAAAAGCTTCGTATTCATATCTTCTAGAGTGGTGCAAACTGAATTGAGGCATTCTTGGATTGTCCTAATTCTGCTTTATTAGTACTAGGTCATGCTGTAACATATCATTCTTGCTTCGTTGTGCAAAACAGAGTTTTTATAGCAAAAGACTTGCCAGAAGCTTTATGCCCCATCAACCTTGAGAGCAAGCAAACGGTGATAATTAAAAAGCAACACGCATATTGAAAGAAAAAACAAATAAATATGTATATGATATATGTGTAACAGGGATTTGGGTCATAGTTCGGGGGTAACTTATGTATTTTGCCTCACTCAGATTGATAAAAAGGTTCATCATGTGTTGAACAAGTAGCAAGTCAAGTTCAAACGAGAATGATACTTGTCACTGCCCACTGGAATCTGGATATACCATGAATAAGCAAAGAGCATGATATAAGCAGAATATAAGCATTTGAATCTAAATAGAGGTGGTACCTGTTCTAGTACAGCTAATATTTTATCAAATATTAGTACAGCCTCCTCTGCTAACTCAAATATTATCTTATCCTATCAACATTCTTGATGACAATGCACTAACAGCAAAACATTCTTCTGCAGCTATCCGCTAAGCATATCCAGCAACAAAAAGTCCATTTTAAGCGATTAGCTAGAGGCTTACAAGAGTAGATGAGCAGAGCAGCCTTCAGAAATGATAAGGTACTTAAATAAATAAAAACTACCTGCATTCTCAAGAATGGGACAACCAAAATTGAAGGATGAAAAGGCCAAATGGTGATTAATCTCCATAATCCGTCACAAGAAGTATCTATAAGTAGTGCGCAGACCACATTTGTATTGGCTCAACAGCGGAAGACAGAATATTTTATCTCTTACCATCAAGCATGTATGAAGACTCAAAGCAGTAAATAAAGTTACAAAAATTCCTAGAACTTCACCATGATAATTCAGTGAGTTGCAATCCGCCTATAAACAGCTCGGAATGTTTGCCCATCGTTTCGTGCTACCTTTTGTCCTTCTTCTGTTGCAGTACTGAGGAGCTTTACAACCTGATCAGTTTCAAGTTCTTCAGTTGTTAGTGCCTCAAACAGTGGATGTTCTTCCAAACACGATTTCATCCACTCACCAAGCTCCTCAACATCTGTTATTGTGTATATAATTCCACCTACTGCAAGCACATAAGCATACTCGTCAAGCAAGAATGGACTAATAACACGTCGACGATGATTCTTCTCTTTGAAATGGGGATCCGGAAACAAGAAAAACATCTTTTTCAGCTGTCCTTTCCCAAAGTAATTTGGAATGTACTTCATTGAATTAGTCCGTACCACCGAAACATTCTGGTATTGACCAGGATTGGTTGTCCTCAACCCCAAAATTCGCTCCTTCACATACTCTGTCACCTTGTCCCGCAGCTCCATCCCAACCATAAGGGTATCAGGGAAAAGGGGTGCAAGGGCGATTAAAAGACCTCCAAATCCACAACCAACATCAGCAAACTGGATCTTTTTAGAACCATCTACTTTAACCATTTCAGGGTAATGTAGGGAATAATCAACCTCAGCGGGGGAAATAGGAATTGGAAAATGCGAGTCACTTAACGGATTACTATGAGCACGAGCTCTATAAAAACGTTTACGGGGCAGACCAGTTTTCTTGTTGTGTGTAGGATTTGAAACCTCATGCTCCAACATCTTTTTAGTTTTTCCCTTCTTTTTTCCTCCTCTTCCAACTGCATAACATAGCAATTACTAAAAACAAGAACTTGAGCACTAAAATTCCAAGAATCTTAATTAAAAAAAATTCATTTTTGATCCATCTTGATTTGCAATTAGTCCAAAACAGCACATAGTAATGCAATTTCAAAAACCATAGTTGTCTCTAATTCAAGAGTAATCATCATTAACTTGCTGGGGTTTGACTATTCTTATTGTGCTAAATACAACACATAAACTGCATAGACACACTATATACCCACCTTTTTCTCTTAACTATTTGGTAAATGGGGTTCACAGAATGAACTAAAAATTCGAACTTTATAGAATTAGAAGCTTATATTTTTTGAATCCTGGCAAAAATTCAAGAATTTAAACTTAAAAGACAATTAAAAAAAATCACAGCAGGAAGTAAAAGAGAGAGGCAGTGTGAATGAATATGTTCCTTTACCGATTTTCAAAAGTTCTACTTTTACATACCTGTTTCTGAAGTTCGATGATCCAAAGCTTGAGATTTCCGGAGAAGAACAGAATTTAGCTTCACGGAGTGAGAGAGATCAGAGAGGGTAGGGGAGTAGTGTGCCCTAGTATTTTTCTGCTGGTTGGGCTTTACGTATCCAACTTATTTTGGCCCTTGTCAGCCACTTACCCATCAATGAATGCTCGGCCCAGTCCACCAAATAATCTCTTTTCTTTCTCTTCCTTGTTTTTTTTTTGTTGTAAAAATAGCACGGTATAGCCAGTTTTTGGATTGGTCATTCAAAAATAGTCAGCGTTTATGAAGTCAATAAAAAATAGTCACTATTTTGCTGCAACAGAAACCGGTCCAGCATAATATACTGGAGTTCGGTGCACCTGTGTATGAACTCCAACATATTATGCTGGACCGGTATACTTTGCTGACTCCAATATAATATACTGGAGACAGGAGCACCGGTGCTCCAAACTCTAGTATATTATACTGGACAATTATATTTGCTGGAACTCCAATATATTATGCTGGAGTTCTACTGTACTTATGCTGGAACTCCATCATATTATTCTGGAGTTCCAGCATACTTATCCCGGAACTCCAGTATAATATGCTGGAGTTCAAGCATACTTATGCTGGAAATCCAGTATAATATACTGGCGTATTTTCCGGGTTTTGAACAGCGCTTAGATTTTACATGAAAAATGACTAAATTTCGATTACTTTTGAAACTGGGCTATTTTTGAACGACCAGTTGTAAATCTGGCTATTTTTGAATTTCTCCCTTTTTTTCCTTAAAAGAAGTGGGAAACGGAGATGAAGAATTAAGGAATTTTTACCTCCTATAGTAAAGGTTAACACCTTCGTTATTTTAAATAAATACCATTTAAAAAAATTATATTCTATAGATACCTTTTAAAGTTTATAGCAAAATATTTAATTTTGGTTACCTCCTATCCCTAAGCCACTAAATACGCTAAGCAGTTACACTATTTTCTTTCTCTCTCTACTTTGATACATCTCATTCTCTTCCCTCATCCCATTAAAATTTCCGATCTCCTCTTTCTTCCACCGGATTTGTGCAAAGCCCACTTCAGAGATGCTGATTTCGAATTGTTTAGTGCGTATGATACTTTTCTGAAGTTGCTATTAATATGATTTAAGGGTTTTGGGAGTATAAATTGTCACATACAATTCGATGTGCATGAAGAAGAGAAAGAAGATGACCGTGAAATGGAAAATAAACAAGAAAGAGATCGACGAAGAAATTGATAGGGAAATTGGTTTATTACATTCAAGAAACAGAAAACTCATGATGTTTTCGGGGTTCCTCCTCTTAGAGAATTTAGAGATTTTAGCTTTCAATTGAATGTCAAAGAGAGGAGATTTCCTGATTTCCTGTCCTCAGTTCAAGATTATCCTTTTTCTGCAGAAAGTAAAGACGGTATACCAAGTCCAAGATCCCATCTTTTTCCTGAGTACTCATTCAAATTGAGGAAGATCAATGTACGTTGCTCGGTATTTAATTGATTTTCTGTTAATATATTTCAATGTATTTTCATGTATTTCATTATATTCATTGTCTCCTTTTTTCCATTGTAATTCAATGTATCTTGTTGTATTCCATATATTTCATTGTATTCACTGTCTTTTTTTCCATTGTATTTCAATGTATCCCGTTGTATTATATATATTTTATTATATTCACTGTCTCGCTATATGTATTTATATATTTTTTTAATTAATATAATTTATGTATTCAGATGTATTATATAATTTCTCTGAAGATTGCTATATTTTTGGGGTATTTTTCGGTTGAGAATCTTTTTTATAATTGAAAATATAAAATTTGTGTGTTATAATTGAGTTTGTTGAGTTATATTAGGAGTCTATTATGTTAATTGATTCACTTTCCGTTTTAAAAACAGTGTAATCCCCTATTTCACGCCGTAAATACAGTCGAATACAATAATCTGTCCAGCTGTAATCCCATGTTTCACTCCATGAGTACAGTCGAAGCCTATTTTTGTTACTGTATTCATGAATACAATAGCTTAAATATATCAAATACATCTTATAACCACAAATAGATGTAAAAATAGCACGGTATAGCCAGTTTTCGGACTGGTCATTCAAAAATAGCCAGCGTTTAAGAAGTCAATGAAAAATAGCCACTATTTCGCTGCAACAGAAACCGGTCCAGCATAATATACTGGAGTTCGGTGCACCTGTGTATGAACTCTAGCATATTATGCTGGACCGGTATACTTTGCTGACTCCAGTATAATATACTGGAGACAGGAGCACCGGTGCTCCAAACTCCAGTATATTATACTGGACAATTATATTTGTTGGAACTCCAGTATATTATGCTGGAGTTCTACTGTACTTATGTTGGAACTCCATCATATTATTCTGGAGTTCCAGCATACTTATCCTGGAACTGCAGTATAATATGTTGGAGTTCAAGCATACTTATGCTGGAACTCCAGTATAATATGCTGACGTATTTTCTGGGTTTTGAACAATGTTTTCGCTTAGATTTATCTTTACCTGAAAAGTGGCTAAAATTCGATTACTTTTGAAACTGAGATATTTTTGAACGACCAGTTGTAAATCTGGCTATTTTTGAATTTCTTCCCAAATAGGTATCTATAATCCGTAATATAGCAAATGGTATCTATAAATGACTAATTACTACTAAAAGATAGTGCTTTATGAAAATTTCTCAAGAATTAACCTATATAGCCTCCCATATAAATTATATAACTCGTGCAAAATATGTGTATAACTATGTATAATCCATGTATACCGGCTAGAAAAAGTAAACAGTAAATATAGTCAGCTATTTGTGTAACAAGTGCGCATCCGTTAAAAGGAAAAGTGATCTTCTGCAGTTCCATTTTCATTATGTGAAACGGGATCTGCTTACGTGAATTAACGGCTATTGAAATGTTATAAAAAAGTAACCAATACTTCATTCGAGCATTAAGTGTATGTTTGTATAAAAAATTCTATGATATCATATATAGTGTCCTGAGTTTGAGTCTAATCGCTTCGATAGTTAGAAAAAAGTTGTAATTGGTTGAGACAATGTTAAAGATGTTACGAAGTGTCAAAATTCTAACAACTTAGGCTTTTAGACAATGTTTATCAAGAATGAGTAAATGTATTAGGTGAAAAATAAATATTCACTTAGACCTACATATATCCTTCATGTATGTATAGTCAGACTATCTTCAGCAACACTATGATAAAAGTAGACAAAATCTGAAAAATAAAATAATATCTTTGCTCCCTGGTTACAAAAACTATACTTGGTGACAAGCTCTAATAATCAACTAGTTTCAACCAACAATGGATGAACATCTGATGATAAGGTGGTAGTATTTGTGCTAGTCCATGTGTAAACTTCTGATATCACACTTCTTTCTTCTGTATTACCCTGAATATTTGTTACTGCTGCAGAAGGCACTTGTGATCTTATGGCTTCCAATGCTATGCTTACTTCCTTCATAGTTGGCCTCTTCCTACCGTTCAAGTTCAAGCAACGATATGCTATATTAGCAGCTGCCATTATATCCTCCTTTCTACCTTCTTGTGTAACTTCTGTATGGAGAATTGTATCGAGGCAATTTTCATTCATTGCCAAAAGGAAATTTGTTGCTAAACTTCTGCCTTCGTTCGTTGTAGTTGAAATTGCTTTCTTTCCTGTTAATAGTTCAGCAAGAACAACTCCAAAGCTATATACATCGCTCTTTTCTGTAAATTGGCTGGATTGGAAATACTCAGGATCTAAATAACCAAATGTCCCTTGGACTCTGGTTGTTAGGTGTGTTTGATCAATTGCTATAGACCTTGAAGTTCCAAAATCTGACACCTTGGCGCGATATTTCTCATCTAAAAGTATATTGCTAGATTTAATGTCCCTATGATATATTGGAACAGAAGTTGCAGAATGTAGATAAGCTAATGCTCCAGCAACCTCTGTGGCGATTCTCAAACGCGTGCTCCAGGGAAAGGGAAGCTCATTATTCTCATTGTGTATGAAGCTGTAAAGCGTGCCATTAATTATAAACTCATATACAAGTAGTGGAACTTCTGTTTCCAAACAACAGCCGAGTAGCTTCACCACATTCCTGTGATTGATTTGTGAAAGTATAACCACCTCGTTGATAAACTGATCCAACTGGTTTTCATCAACCAACTTTGACTTTTTCACTGCTACAATATTCCCATCGGGTAGCATGCCTTTGTATACCGTGCCTTGACCTCCACGACCAAGTATGCGATTTTCATTGAAGTGGTCTGTTGCCTTCTCCAGCTCTTTAGCTGTGAAAAGTTTTGCTTTGTCAATAATTCCTTCATTGGATGATAGCTGCTGTTGTAGTAAGAGGCCACCATTTCGCTTAAAAAACATTTGTTTCTGTCGTTTGTTCCTTCTCTTCTTGAATGTTTTGTATAATAAATAGCTCACAAACAGTATAAGCAGCACTCCAATACTTAAGAATACACCTGTGGAGATAGGAGCGAGGAGAATTAGCCAATAAGCTAGAATTAAGCAATTTACTCTTTTTTGAAGGGAATTTCGGGGTGTTTCCTATAGACTGAGCTTTCTTTCTTCTTGATTTGCAACCAGTAAAGTATCGAAATTAGGATGTCTACCATTTTCTGGATGTAGTTTGGACAGTGTTGAGTTATCAAATGGCTAGGAAGTACAACAGAAAGTGACTTACTGAGGAGAATGATAGTGGAAGCTGGCTTCTTTGAGTAGTATACCACCTCTGTGCAGTTGGTGCATCCTTGAATGGCTGATTGGCATACAAAACAATATTAGAATGGTATGTATCAGGGAAATACACCAAATAATAGTGCCCTGGCCTATTGATTTTTTACTCTCCTCTATTTTGAAGAGGTTATGTGAATGAGCTTTTTCCAATTTCAATTCTTAGTTTTCAAACTCCATAACAAAAAACTCCTACTGTCAACCTAATTTTTGTACTAACTTTATCAAATCACATTGAAATTCACATGCTACTGCTTAGAACATATCAATATAGTTTACCTCAACTTGACCCTACAGTGTCTTGCCAGTGGCCAGACATAAATTTGAAATAAGAACAA